AGCGCTAGCATGAGCGCTAGCATCAGCACTAGCTTCAGCGCTAGCATGAGCGCTAGCATCAGCACTAGCTTCAGCGCTAGCATGAGCGCTAGCATCAGCACTAGCATCAGCGCTAGCATGAGCGCTAGCATGAGCGCTAGCATCAGCGCTAGCCTGGAACCTGCCGCCATATTGGAAGCAATAAAAGATTTAAAAGAAGACGTGAAGGAGGACAGCGGAGAACAACTGGGAGGAGAAATAAACCTGGACTGTTAAACCTGCTGTAATCTTATCGCTCTTCTCTGCTCATGTTCTTTTGTGTGTTTTATGCAAAATTGAAAAACACTAAATAAAAAGTTTTTAAAAATCCTGTTTATTGAGATGTACTTGTTGTTTTTCTCTGTTCCTTTCCGTGTTTCTGCAGATAAGGGATCCTAAAACCCTCCTGGCTCTGCCTGGAGTCCTGGTGGGAGACATGGGGAAGAAGCTGGGCCAGAACGGACTGGATAACGGGTGGGTGGAGGAGATGATGTCATAATATCTGCTGCTTCTCTGGGTACTCTTCCACTGTCTGTTAGCTCTACTGGCGGCTCTACGGCGCCCCCACGGTGGGTGACATGTCCTGGTTGGATCCCACTGGGTGGAAGGTTCCAGACTTCCAGGTCTGGGTCCAGTGATGCGGTTAGTCCTGCGTCCAGATGATCCGCGGTGGTTTCCTGTCCGTTCATTGGTTAACGGCAGTCAGGCCCCGCCCAGCTGTTAGCTGCTCTTCCTGGATGTCCTCCAATGTTTCGCTGAGATGCAGGAAACTTCTTCTGCCGTTTTCTAATCAAACTCCTGAATATTTCCTTCTTTTCTCCAAACAGGTTTGCAATGTTTTCCAACGTGAGAATCCCAAGAGAAAACCTGCTGAACCGGACCGGAGACGTTACCCCCGACGGCCGCTATGTGACGCCATATAAGGTAAGCCCCTCGCCGCCTGCTGTCGTATAAAGAGGAAGTCCGTCCATCCGTCCATCTGTGGTGTCACTACTGGAAGCACGGTCTGCTCCATCACCTGTTCAAACGGATAGACGTCCAGGTTTCCATTAATAATGTAACTATTGTTAAAACATTTCTTATTTCTGTATCTAACTCTTTAAAGAATGCTAAAACTGCTTTAAATAAATGTTTTAATGACTTTCTGAGACAATTTAATGCATTTAAACAGCTTAAACAGCTTCTCTGATGTCATCATTAAACCATCTTTATCTGCATTAAAGTTGTTTCTTTCTTTAGATTACGAACTATTTACCATAATGTTAACATGAAATAAAAAAATTCAACTCAAAAATAGATTTAGTTTAGATCCAAAGCTGATAAAGTTGTTTTCTATCTTTACATTATTCCAGTTTACTAAGCTGCACTGTATAAAATACTAAACAATAAAATGTTTTTTATTTATTGCTGATGTGTCGCCATCCTCAGTCTGGTGAAATATGATCGGTTTCGTTCTTTAGAATATATATCATTTATTCTATAGAGATCAAATTAAAATAAATATTTATTCTTCCAAAGCAGAGAAATGAGCTGTTCGGACGTTTTGTACGGAAGGCTGTTAGTGTATTTATTCTGACAGCAAAGCCGTTATGTTTTTAGACGACGGCTGAAGCGCTGATGGGGGGACACTTTAGGTAGCGACACCAGCTAGCTGGATAATGTTCATATTTCCTGTTTCCTTTCAGACGGTTGGAAACTTTTTCCTTTAACATTACTTATTTAATTTTAAAGTTTTGTTTTTCTTTAGTTTAGGACCTTTTAAAAGGCGGTTGTCTGAAACGATGTTCTGATGTTTTTATCTGAAATGATTGTTCTTGTTTTAACAGGTTAGTTTGATCTAATTCTTTCCTGTTAGAGTTTAAAATCATAAAACCATCGTTTGTTCTGGTTTATCTTTAAAACATGGCGGACGTTAACTGAACCTTTTCTTCCTGCTTCTGTCTCCATCAGGATCCTAACAAGCGGTTCGGAGCGTCTCTGGGGGCCCTATCAGGAGGTCGCGTCTACATAACCAGGATGGCCCTCACCAACCTGAAGCTTGCCGTTACCGTGGCGATCCGCTTCTCAGCCACCAGGAAGCAGTTTGGGCCCAGTGAGGCTGTAGAGCTGCCGGTTCTGGAATACCAGCTACAGGTGGGAACGCAGTGAGAGGCTCTGATCGTCTGTCAGAGAAATAACCGGAACAGCATCCGGTTTGATCCGGTTTGATCCGGTTTGATGCCAGCTGGTGCTGGATGGTTGGATCAGGTTTCTAGCTGATCTATTCCAGTTAGTGGATCCTTGGAATGAGCTGCAGACGCCTCGGTTTATTAAAACACGCAGCGCAGCGATCCCCTCTAAACAGGATTACCTATTTCACTCCTATCTCTACCTTTAATGGCATCTTTGCTTTAACTTCTTGTTCTCAATAAGTTCTAAGGCCGTTCCTCCATCTGGTGAAACGTCATCATCCTCAGCCCTAGCGCTGTTCCAATGTTCTGGCCCCTCCCTCTTTACCCAGCATGCACTGCAGCAGCAGCAGCTTCCAGGTTAGCGCTCACAGAGCTCAGAGGATTAAAAGTTCTCTTTTCTGTTGCTGTTGTCAAATAAAAATATGTTTTAATATCATTTGAGGCGAGAATATTAAACATTAAAGTCGTAGGGAAGCGGCCGTTCCAAC